CAGTTGTTGCTTTAAGCCTTAGAATTCTTTCCCTTCTAACAACTTAATTGTTGCTTTTGTTTAAATTCGTCTCCAAATGAGGATTGCCGTTAAGTAAACTTCATCTAACATATTTGACGTGCAGAACAATCAATGGACGTAAATAAGCGTTACCTCCTTTAAAGTATCAGCTGATCTTCTCTAACATTCCAATCCAAAGATTAAGCCTTCAAATATAAAGCTCTCATTCCCTAATTTTTTCATGAACTGAGCATTGGTATTTTTCTTAATCTTCTACATTATGATTGGCATTTCATCATTTTTCGCTGTATTTCTGATAGCGGTAAGATATCAAACTCAGCAATTTCTCTTACTTGATTGGCTTATTCTGTCATTACCACGTGTTTGGGATGTAGAATCTTGCATGCCAGTTCTTGATTATCTCTTCATTGATCTAAGAAGGAGTTTCCATTCGCGACTCTTAATCGTTTCTCCTCATTTTTGAAAGCCATTATCCTGAACTTCCTAGTTTCTTAGTGAGAATTTATGCATCTGATCTACTTTGCATTGTTTTCCACGTGAATTTACACAAATGGCTAAAACACGAAAAAAGCCGGGATATTTAGATATCTCTCAATTTTCAAATTATTAATTCTGCTTATTATGAAGGGAAAGTAAATAGCAGATTCTAAGTGTGGGTAAATTGGAAATCGTTAAACAACCCGAAATAAAACTCAAAATACTTCACTGAAACTCTTCAGCATCTGATACCAATTTCCACAACTTATTTTACAAAGCCTGTCGAAAAGTATCTATGCAGGGCCTAATAGGTGATTGACCTGAGACTTTCTTCATCAAGTTTGTGTGCAAGCTGGCTGACCTCAAGCCTTGCATACCTTTTTTTGGTCTATTGGCCTCGCCGAGACAACTGTGAGTCAATGATCAAGATGCCAATGCATTTTGTGAGCTATGGTGGAGTGAGAGGAGTAATGGAATCGGACGCATCAGTTTCATCTTGTCAATTCAACACTGCGTTCCTTCACTCCGACCTTATTGTCAACATGAAATAATTGACGCGTATCCTGACAAAGAGATCAATAAGTTTGTTTATAATAATTTGTTTATTTGTTCATAATTAAGTGAATTAACATCTGTTTACTAAGGAATAATGAATGATATTTTAAGGATCTTTTCGTAGTGTTCACAAAAACCATGCCTTCACGACATGTAGGGAGATACAAATATGGTGTCCAATTATAAATCAGTTTTCAAAACAAAGCCTTCTCCTATTGGCTGTAATGGGTCACGAAGCGCAGAACTGAACAAAGATCAAAGAAAATCAATAAAAATGTCAGAGAGTGGAGGGGATAACTGAATTTCGGAAATATGAAGTCTGAAAATTAAGAAGTCATAAGCTGGGTTGAGGTTTCAACAAGGTCATAAGCGTTCGTATTGGTTACTTTTAATACATTTTTTCTCGATTTGCTACTCATTATTTGATACCCATTATTGGCACCATTGTATTTGTTCAAGTAAGTGCGGCCAAATTCGAATTTCAGTAATCTATATTACTCATAATTTGCTCGAAGAAGAAAGGTCTGTCAGTTTGATGAGGCTTATGTTGCTTTGATGTACTTCTTGCAATTTTCAACCTCTCGAAAAGTAGAAAAGTCTGGAGAAATGTCGTGTTTTAAATCATTGATGAAGTAAAATGTTAGAACCTTCAAAATGACTTCTAAAAGGAAACAACTTCTCACGTCAAGCCTTAGCATTTTTACCGAGAGATTTTTCAAATCATATGACTGTCTTCGCCACAATATTGCGTCTAGAGTGTTTACATAACTAGAAATGCACTTTAAGGCAATTTTCTCCATAATACACGAGGAATTTTATATTTAGTAAAAGGGCGATAAATGTGATAACTTTAATAAATTAACAGTGCTGAGATTCATTTCCCTATTAGCTTGCTTTATTAATGAAAAAGGAATGAACAAAACCAAACCAATGTTCTCTAAAGTCGTCGTGTGCTTATTTATGGTTGGCGGGGGGTGTTGGAATAAACCTACTGAAGCCGAAGTAAATTGATGTGAAAATGACTATTTTAACATTTTTGGTTCTTTCCATCCTCTTGGTCCAGAGAAGTCAAGTATTTTTTTGAAGGGGGCGGGTGTCTGCCAAAGCTTCGTTGCTACGAATAGGGCCATTTAAAGATGCTAGAAAATAGGCAAGTGGAGAGAGGTAGCAATTTATTTATTGACGATAAAAGCATTTTTTTAGTTAGAATAATGAAAATTACGTTGAAAAATACTTGTTAAAATTGAGTACCAAATACACATAAACTCTGCTCATAACAATGACACTGACTGCGATACCCCACTTCCATTGATATAACATTGCTTTGGCTGGTGATATTTCTTTAAAGAATACACGCTATTGGAGACACCTCCTCAGGAGTCTCCTTCATCTAATTAAAAATGACCTTGTAGAGCCCATTGCAAACGAATTCCTTCAGTTGTTTTACCAAATGGTATCAAATGTTGGCTGCTGAATTCTCATGCCTCTAATTAAGTAATGGGCTTTGCTTTCGTATTCCCACCACGTGCGTGCACAGCAAATATTCACTGTTCTTTCAATTCGGTATGCTGCGTATGTTGCTGAAGCTAGAACGCGCATTTAACTTTCCAACAGATGGACTTCATGGGCATAATTTGTCTTTAAAACTACTGGAGATTATTTATTTATTTCAAATGGCAGGCGTTTTGTTAATTAGCATTAGCCATTTAGCTGACTTTGGGCTTCACAGAGAGGAGGAGGAACATCATAGTGACAAAGAGTCGAGAGGGAGGGGGACAGAATAATGATTCACAGATGTAACAGAAACAGACAAAACGGCAGAGAAAAGGTAAGATGAGTACTGTGGAAGGGGTCGAATATGGCATACAGTGGGGTGATGGTAGTTTGAAGTCAGAAGTCAACTGCCAGTTAATGGACTTTTTTGCCGTATGAGTATACGCTGCCCAGGGTGCACCACGTGGGGGTAAGTCTATCGCACACCCCCCTACTGGAGATAATACGTGTAGCTGTTCAAGTGATTAATTGAGCCAAGATAGTGTTTCACACCTATTTTTTTCCTGGTGCTATATGACAGTGGGAATTTGACGTGTTCAATGCCCATGCTAGGGTATGAACTTACCTTCTGCCAACCATTAAAAGAAGCTACATTAATTGGCCAGCTATACGAGATCTTTAAATCGCATTTTTGAATGAACAGGTACAAAGGATGAGAATTCATGAAAATTCAGTATGCTTAATGATAAAACAATGACCTTAATTGAAAGAATTTAATAAACACTTAATATTATACGTGGTTCCTGTAGGTTCTCCAATGCCATTGTTTCCAGTTAAATAGGCTTGGATCCCATATCGTTAGGGGCATTAGTGGGCAACTTTCTTCCCTCTTTTAAACAAATTAAAGGAACTTTCAATTTGAATCTCCTCCAAAATTTGATAAAAATTGATCTTCTTTTTTGCCAAATTGCATGTAAAAGTGTAAAAAAAATAGATAGCATATTTTTCCAAGTCAACTACATTGTTATCGCTTTGACCACAGTCAAGTAACACTGAATCCCACTAGTAAAATAACTGCTACTAACAGCACTCACGAGGGGCTTGTAAAATCGAAGGCTAATAGAAAAGCTAGCAGGCAATAAGAGAGAGAGAGGTGAGGTGGGAATTAGATTTAGAAGAACGACCTGATGTGAAATCGGAGTTCTGATAAAGAGGTCAAGTTACGCAATAGCTTGTAGCATTAGTTTGTCTATTAACTAACCCGTGGAAATTCCCATTCCGAAAATAAGGACAATGAAAACACGTAGCAATCACATGTGTTTGACGAAATACTGCTAAATGAAGGTGGGAGGGTGGGCATTATAGACTCCTATTCTGTTACAAGTAGGCTCACAAACTTGCTGGACCAATCCGAAGCACATGCTATTTGCAGAGTAGATCAATGAAAAAGAAAAATTGAATCTAGCGAGTCTAAGGGTTAGATTGGGCTATATGTGTAGCCATCGATCACTAACCCTCATGCTTGAGTCGGACAGACATGGTGGGAAATGGTCTCATGCTCGCGTCATTTGTGCTTTTTGAATTACTTAGTCCTTAAGTCCATCTTTCAATTATTTAACAGTCTGCCCTTTTTCTTTTGTGGAACACGTCATTGCCTGTATGTGATCGCATGTGCGCACAACCAATGGCCAATCAGAAACCTGCGATTGTTTAAGCGAATCCGCCATTTTAATTATGACTAACGTTCCGTCGTATACACTTTATCCAGTATACTTCCTGGATGAACGTATTCCATGTGATACTTAGCTAGTTATTGGATTCTAGCCAGATATAGGAGGTACTGCCACAGAGATTTCTGAGTCAGTCAAGGCATTACTAGTGTAGCAATCCGCTCACATTCAACCAGATGATCTTTTTGACCAGATTTCAGTTGGTCATCCGAATCCCTAGGTGTACACCCATTACTTATTTGACAGTAACTTGGCAGACATACGAGTTGACTACTACAGAACTGTCAAACACAAGTTTTATATGAAATGGAAAGTTCTAAACTGCATCTAGTAGTGGGTATTTTGCAAGAATAAGCGTGTTATCAGCTAACTTTCGGTTACCTGTTTTAGTGCAAGTTACTGCTAATTTTGCGTGGGCGTAAATAAACAAGCAATACTTTAGGCATTTTGAAAGATTCGATGTCTTCTAATCGGCCATAATAAATCAGACCTATTTCATATTCGGATATGAGCTCCTGTGGCATAGTGATGATCAAATCTGCCTAACACCTAGAAGGCCCCTATTCGAAACTCACCGAGTCATATAAAGGAAGCATCGGTGTCGTAGTGATTGCAAACACGCCCAGAGGGCTTGTCCCTTTTTTCGTGCACATTAACAGAGTTTGTGATCTATATATGTGTATATATAAAATAAGGAATACATTAGTAAGTCGTCGCATAAAATTAGTCTACATCAACTTCTAAATCTTCTTGAGTCGATGATGAGCCCAAAAGTATAAGCCTTTCTGCGACCACCGCCCCGATTTTCCTTAATTTGGCGACCTCTGGTGAACTAGATGTTCCAGTCGGTTTGTAGTATGACAAGAACCCCGTCACAAAGATTCGATCTCCCGGTTTCAGACGCTTGACAAGTGGAAGAAGCCGACGATCGAATACGTGAACCCGGTTGTGATATGTTCGCATCTGAAAACCAATAGAACCCCCCACATGTCCTAGATCTTCAGCTTCAGGATACTGTTGGCTTTCGCTGGATGGTGGTTCATGATTGTCGATGGATGTGGAAAGCAATGGCACTCGGGTTCGAACGAAGAGGGTTGCCCATTGCTTTTCGGGTTGAGATAAGCGATCTAATAACTAGAGGGAAAGAAATGAAGAAGGGTGGATGGAATGGCCAATGACGTTGAGTAAATCTGAATAGTAAAGGAAAGGAGTCCAAGACAAGTATTACACGGAGCTTTTCTAAAAGGAACTTGGACATTAACAATTACTGCGTCGTGGCCATTGCCTGATGAATACTTAACGTAAACAAAACACTACAGCTTCTAGATCAAATAGTCAAAGATTACGAATTTGAATAAAGTGAAGCAACAAAAAATTTAATTGAACACAAGAATTGCATAAGAAAATGCAATGGAATCGAAATTATGCGGCCAGTAGAAGCGTTGAACAAGATGACAAATTCGAGAAAAATGAAGGCAATGAGAAGTAGAGGACTGAAATCACCAAGCAACTTGATTACTAAAAAGATTATAGTAGCGCCACCAACACACCTTAAAAAGCAATTAATGCAAATGCTACGGCTAAGCCCTCAAATATCTAAGACAATTAAATCACTGCTCTCATCACACAGAAATCTCGGAGGTTCTCAAAGTTACCTTGTCCTGGTATTAGTAATGATTACCCTGTAGGATATACCATTATCCTATCCAAACCAAATGTAAAGGGATAAAATAATTGAAAATTCAAATATTAGAATGATTCTGAATGTAATGTGAAAATAATTGGTAATAAATGCTTTAATTTAGGAAGAGGAGAAAGACGCTTTTAAGCAAGCGTGCGCAAATGAAATATTTCCATTTAAATCACACAATATTTCCATGATTCAAAAAATAGCTAAAAGGGCGAATAAATACGCTTAATCACTATAAAGACAACATATAAAACCGAGCGCTCAGGGAAATGATGCCAAACATACAAGTTCTGACTTGCGTTTGCATCTGAAGTCGCATTAAATATCGAAAACAAAAACCAAAAAGTGCAAGTCAAACATGCACAAATATAAAATCCTAATTTGAAAATTATGAAAAGCACAACTAATATTAAGTCCAAACAGAAAAAATTAATCTTATGATTCTGAACTCGATAAAAATAAAGACAGATCATCTAACCTTTAGTTCGGTGATAGTGCCCAGAATATCGGCTCTATTAATGTTTCCACCTTCATTGATTTTCAGGTTGGACAGTGCTTTTGGCACTTTGGGGGATCGCACTTCAGCAACATCAGCAGTGATATCAGAAATTGTGTCATCAGCTAAATTGGTCGAGGATATTCCTCGGTGGGAAAATTCCAACGACCTGGGCACTGTCACGATGCGAGAAAGCAAACGAGATATTTGAAGCATGTCTTAAACCTGAAAACGAATTAATAGGAATGCGAGCAATTAATAGATAAAACGCCTGGACAAAAAATGAACTGTACAAATAAGTAAAGAATGCATATAAGCTAATATTACGACCTATAACGCATTAACTACTCCATGAGATCATAAAAGTGGAATGCATGAAGAGTATCATAGTTATTCATAAGCAAATACAAACCGATTTCGATTAGTAAGCATAACTCTCACTATATGAGGCAATAAAAGCATATTGACAGACAAAACCTTAATAACAGGTATAATGGCACCAATGCAATAATACATAACCTGCGCCAGAGGACAAATCAAGGTTACTAGAGTATCAATTTCAGATTTTTTAAGCAATTTCATATATATTTTAAATATCACATAATATTTCGATAAACTGTTTATTTAGACTTATGATAAATTGTTTAAACAAGGAGACGAAAACATAATTATAGGTATCTAAATACCGGTTGAATTATTTTGATATAAATTCCGAAAAATGCTTTTGAATTAATAAAAATTCAGCTAGTGAATTAATTGTAGGGAACAAATTGTCATATCGGTTTAAGCATTAAGTCATAAGAAAAACAAACCTAAGGTTGATAAGTTAAGTTTTATTCTTATTTGTTCTTATTAGTTCTCCCTGTTATTTTCGTGAATATAAATGATCAACAAATTTTAACAAAAGGTTTGTCCGATCAAAGAAAATTATGTTCTGAACCCAGCTCCTTTTATATAAATGATTTTATTTTAAAATATTTTCTTATGTAGTTTTAATGAATCAACTCTACGTAGAGGGTTTGTGATTATCGAAGGTCAGACGTTTTGCCGGTCGTAGTTTGCAAAGCGATGATCGCATTTGTTCTGCTTGGTGCTTTATTACCAATTCTTCTTTATATTATATGGCCTATTTTGGTTTTCTATGTATTTCGTATATTCTTGAGTAGGAGCGATGATATATTAAAATCTGGTGAATGGGCTATTATCACTGGTGCTACTGATGGTATTGGAAAAGCCTTCGCGGAACTTCTTGCTGAAAAAGGTCTCAATATTTTCCTTATCAGCCGTTGCCAAAATAAATTGCAGGCTGTTGCTTCGGGAATTGAAAAGAAATATAATGTCAAGACTAAGTCATTCACTGCTGATTTTGGGCTGGTACGTCTGATTTTACTTGCAGAATTTTTTTATTTCACCTAATCCTGTTTATTTTTAAATAGGAATCATTCCCTTATGATCAGTTGATGACTGAAATCAATAGTCTATCTTCAATTTCTTGTCTTATCAATAACGTCGGTTTATCTTACACATATCCCGACGCTTTGGCAACCAGTACAATGCTAACTCCAGAATTCTGCGAGAAGCTTATCAGAATTAACGTCATTACACTCACCAAACTCACCCGAATGATTCTTCCTAAGCTGGTCAACGATCCACTTCCAGTGAAGGGTGTTAATCGATACATAATCAATATGAGTTCATTATCTGGCGTGGTCGTTTGTCCGTATCTGACAGTGTACGGGGCTACCAAAGCATATGTCACTTCTTTTACCCAAGGTCTTACTGTTGAGCTGAGGGATACCTGCGTTCGAGCTCAGGCCTTCACTCCTTCTCTAGTTTGTACTAATATGTCAGGAATCAAGCGCACGTCGATGTCAATTCCCTCGGCAGATACTTTTGCCAGGTCTGCTTTTTCTATGATTGGGGTAGAGACTATTGGCAGTGGCTACTTTTTGCATTCGTTCCGTTTGCGTCTAGCCACTGCGTTGCCAACTTGTTTGGTTTTGAAATATCTTGGAGGTGAAATGCTGAAGATGCGTGAACGATATCTTCGCAAACAGAAGGCTAATTAACTAACTGGATAACAAACTTTGCTTGCCATTCATCTTCCAATTCGCTTGTTATTGTCCTTTTTCCTCCTCTCTAATAAGCTAACATTTGTTTAATGCTTTTTCCGTGTTAAACTTTGAGTTCTCCAATGGTCTCTAACGTGTGTGGGTGAGTAAGCTGGGAGGTTAAATTTCACTAAGTGTGCTTGCAGTTTATGAATACAGTGAACATCTTGTATCAAGGTGATTATGAATCATAATATAATTTTTAAGTAGAGTATCATGGTAGATATTTTTCCCCATTTGTCTTCTAAATTAGATGATTCTGGGTTTCTATATAGACGGATTTGAGTTAAGGTTGGAAGTTGAGGTGTCGGTGGAGGTAATGTGTCGGACTAATGTGCATGTAGGTCTTGACAACAGCAATGTGATATTGATCCCTCAAACTGAATGCTTCCTCCACTTTCTGTTTGCAAAATTTGCAAACTTGGCTTTATTGAAGGCAGTTAGTTAATTGACTGAAGCTGTCAAAATTTTCACTTCTTGTGACCGGAAACTGCTTCCCCCTTTATCCAAATATTATTACATCGCTGTTTCTGTCTATCACTGAAACACTTAGCTTTGTTTCAATCGCCTGACTTACATGTCTTCCATGAAGAATCGCATATTTAACGATATTTGGTCTAAAACCATTATGTCGTTTTCCCGAAGGAAATCCCAATTCTAGCTATTTAAGTTACACCTTGGGGCGTGCGATAGACTTACCTCCATGTGGTGCATCCTGGGCAACGTATACTCATACGGCAAAAAGTCTATTATCTGGCAGTTGACTTCTGACTTCAAACTACCATGGCCCCACGGTATGTCATATTCGACTCCTTCCACAGTACTCATCTAGCCTTTTCTCTGCCTTTGTGTCTGTTTGTTTCTTTTACATCTGTGAATACCTCTTCTTTTCCACTGTCGAATTTTTCTCACTTTAATGTTCCTCCCTTCTGTGAAGCTCGAAGTCAGCTAAAGGGCTAATGATAACTATCAAAATGCCTGCCATTTGAAAAAAAGCTACACCTTATGCTTTGATCGCACTGAAATCGAGAAGTAACCATGACAATATGTTTTGCTGAGTATTATATTGCAGCTGAGTGGCAGAGTGAGTACACACAGAGAAGGCTTCTTTTTCAATCTAGGTGTTACTATTGTTAAGAGTCTAGAAGCCATTAAGTGTATTAAAAAAAATTTAACTCTCATAATCACAACTCTAAATAATACTGAAAGTAGAGAACGACTAGGTCTTTAATGAATTCTGAGCAGTACTTTGTATAGGTAGGGATCACAAGATGGCTTCCAGTTGAAGCGATTTTTTCTCTCCTCCGGTGATTCCCTACTAATGTCCTTTTAAGGTAGAGATGACTCAGTATGTCGTGTATAATATAATCCAAACAATATCGTCCTTGTGGGAATAAACTTTAAACTAGGACTCAATATTTACATTTTCAATAATAATTTAAGCATTGAACAAATAGGCTATTTTCACCCATTGGCTTTTCTTCACTATTTGTATTTTCTAACTTAAATCAACAACTGGTAAAATTTTTTGCTTTTCTTGGTCTCGCCCAAGGTTTCAGTTTACACGAGAAAGATTCCCATCACTTATTCACCACCTGCCTCTTCAAGAGGAGTGTCCGAAACGTTTTCCAAAAAGAGCCTAATAGTTGCTTTTTGTTTTATTGCTAAAACAAGAAAACATTTCATAATGCGGACGAACGTAGTCACATGCGAAATTAAACTAAAAAATTGTGATATTTTTATCTAAGCAATCAAGTATCATCATTCCAGTATCTGCATCGGGCCATATCTATCATAAGAATGATCAGTAGAAGGTCCTCTATGCTGATTCATCTATATAATTAAGGGGTAAGTGGCAAGTAATTAATGACATGCTGACCTCCTGGTAAAAAAACCCGAGTTCATCCTTTTCCTTTATTAGTCAGTCTCACTAAGTGTGGCCGACCATTCTACTCACTGGGTGTGCAACGAGAGGTACCGTAAACGATTAATTTAGCCCCCTCCGCCATCCAGGATACACAAAACTACCGAGGCTGAATATAGAAATCAGGTCCTCATTCAGACTGTCTCGTCGGTACGGCTGTGAGTGCAGAGACCAGAGATCAATAGCCACCACAGCATAGCGTAGCTATAATCGCATTGATTTAACCTTGTGTCGCTGTACTATAAGCTGTAGTAAAAGCTATTTTATCCATAATTTCTGTCCCTATCAGCACTATTGAGGGAGCTTAACTAATTTTGGGAGCGATTTAATACTAGGGGATTTTGCCAGATTTCAATTACCAGTGGCATCACAATAGTCTTTTCTGCTAGTTTGGTATACCAAACACGAATGTCCTTCAGTGCACTGAAAATCAAATTAATGGGAAAAATAAGTTATCGAATGAGAATAGGTTGTAAACATCACAATTACAACTCAATTGCGCTATTTGGAGTACACGTGCTTATAGTGAACACGTAGTTTCCCATATAAGCATAATGCAAAAGCTTAGGTAACAAACCAGGTTGATTTTTGATAGGATCTCAGTTAACGCACTTGTGCTGTTGTTAGAATCGCTCACTAAGACGATAGTCTGATTGGAGTCAAATGCAATCATGCGTCGCCATGACAATTGCCCTCTTAGGCTATTAGGCATCTACAACAAAGCTAGTGCAAAAAGAAAATGGAAATCCGGTAATTTTTAAATATCGTTCCCTTGACGCTGTTGGTACTTTAGTGTTTTCCCCACTTTTTACATTGAAAACTATGCATAGTTATGGAATTGTTTGTCCGAACCGACGAATAGCCATAAACACTGAAAAATTGCAGCCGTGGTAACTGGTTATCGTTCATAATATCCTTTCATTCTTTATACTGTCTTCTCTTCTCCTCTATTGCTATTTCTGTTTATATTTTTGACCATTAGTACTTGCAAGAGAAGTTGACTTAGTGGGAAATACTAAAAATGTCCATGATAAAGCGAGGTTTTTCTTAGGGATTTATGGCATCGGCGCCCAACCTTGCAGAATAGTGACCATGAATTTTTTAAAATATCACCTAGAAAGACATTTGCCGTATTTAAATAATTACAGTCAATAAAAAATCTGCAATTCTTGGCCTAACACCACCTTATATATGAAGTATGTGGCTGCGCCAGTGTCCGATAGTTTAACTGAGTGGACATAAATCCGCTTATTTGATCTTCAATCGATTTGGGACTTATGTTTACCAGATACTTGTATAACTGGTGGTTAGAAAAAAAGTCTCAATCACAACATGGACTGTCGAGATACTTCAGATTATTATGAAAGCAAACTTTCGGATTTATTTCACTGTCCCTTCAGTAAATGTAATATTATAATCAATTCAAATTTCAATTTAACAGAAACATTGATTGGCCCTCCTTTCCAAAGCGCTTTGTTCAAATACGACACAAAGTTTACGATTATTGATCTATCTTCATCATACACGTGAAATGGATTCGTGGATGCCGTTGCAATTTAATGCAGAAGATGTGATACAACTTTCCATTATCTGCGTCTCCATTATAACTCTTCACATCACATCCGTGCTCCTTGGTAGTTATCTTCCATTTCTAGGAGTATGTAAATATTGCGTTTAGTTGATTCTCCTCATTTCAGATATTTTCGCTTGCAAAGGATGAGGTTTTAATTAACCTAAATATAATTGGAGCAGCAATGTTGCTATCATTCATTTCATTTATCCTAACAAAATGTGCAATAGGAAGACTAAATTTTAATAAATTCAGAAAATCAAATTGCCGAAGGAGATGAATGGAACGCAATCTAGAAATGTTACCTCCGGCAATGCCCATGGTTAATTTCATTTTTGTGAAAAATTAAAAGCAGATGTGTTATGGTTTAACTGTTTAAAATAAAACGCCTGATATAAAAGCTATCGTTAATAAATCTGTTTAAACATAACGTTGCAGTTCTTTTAATGCAAGTTTTACTTATTGTAAATGAATATCGATTTCTGATAAAATATGCTCAATCATTTGAACGAATTTGGAGATTTGAGCAGGTTTGACAAGGGAATGAAGTTGAAAAGGTATTGAAATGGTATTTCAAAATTATGCTACAGTGGATGACTTCCCGTATTGCAGTAACCATTACTTAGCTGAGGTGCTGTTTTTTGAATGAATTGTGGCGGGTGCAACGCTATCGATACTGATCAAAGGGATCTCTCGAGTTAGAACATTATGTAATACATGAGGAACATACCGGTCGTTTATCATGTTTTATTTAACCAGGAATTTATAGGATAGTCAAAATATGTTCGCCAGTGTTTTGGACAACAAAGGCTCTCTTTGGTTGTGGACAAACACTCAAGGAATATCTGTAAGTAAGCGTGGAAATAGTATTTTATTATTTGAGATGCTAAACAAGGTGACCCAGATTTTCCTATTTATTCGGCTAAATCATTAGCCCATTTATGGAATAATAGAGTTGTATGATAGTAATAGTTAGCTTAAAACGAGAATAGGCAGCTAAATTTAGGCGTTTTCTCGCCTTTGGGGTCGTCACCTCAAGAGTTTAGTCCTTTGGCGAAAACTCTGGAATATATTCCAAATAGGAAAAGTGGTCACTTTTGCTGGAGATCCAGAAAAGCACCATGACTCTTTCCGTGGCCACAGTAAAATTATCCTAACGTTACACCTACCCTACGATTTAGCATACTTACAGGAACATCTTTATTAATTATTAAAACGTCGTTATATTTCGTCTTGGCAACATAACCAGTTTTGCTAAAAAAGACTAATTTTCACCATTTTTATAAAACGTAGAAGGTTAAGGTGTTTTCGCGTGCCCGCATTTGAGCATAGGATCGAAGCATATCGAAAGCGCTTCAAACAAAACTAAAATATGAAACAAGTTATTCCCATTTTCAATACCATTTAAATATATTTAATACTAACTCAAAGAAAAATATTGTGTTTGAATCATTGCCATTTCGTATTGAGAGATTAATTTAGCTACATAATTAAAAGGTCGTTATTAAATCGTTAGTCTTTGCTTCTCTTGTCGAGCGTAATTATGGAGCATAAGAGTTTGAAATCAGAACAGTCCCATTTTAAACTTAAGAGTTCATTCACCTATTGAAGATACATATTACACTTAGAGATTGAGCGCAATTATCAGAAATATCTGAAGCTTATTAATATTAACTGGAAAAGTAAACGTAAATCAAAGACATGGTAGTTTACAAATTAAAACTCATCAATAAGAATAGCAGAAACGATTTTAGGGCTGGTTGAATTTATTATTAAAGCGGGTTGCGTAAATGCATAAATAACGTTGGTATGTAATCATATAGTTTGAATATTAGATGAAATAAGATTAACTTTGGCTACTTTGGCTAATTGATCATTACAATATATTCCGCGAGTGTTCAAGACAATCTGAAAAATACAAATTAATTATTACAAAACGAGAGCATATATAATAATATTAAAAATTAGGCAGAAAAATATTCCAGCTTGCTTTTAAATGATCTTACTTCTTTTTTCCTTATACATGACTTAGATTAGAAGCTTCATTTTACGAATTCGAAAAGGACTTGAAGAGATATAATTGACGCAATATTATAGCACAAACATGTAACCGTCAAAAATTGTCAATGACGAACAAAGTAAAATCTAATGTGTCAAAATTGTTTCCGTTCTCGGTGATTATTCATCGAAAGCCTATTTTAAACAACCTAGATAAAAGTAGTTTTTTTTCTGTTGAAGAAAATATATTTCAAAATAATATTTATACAGAACACTCCGTTACAGAAGCAGGCTTATTATTTTTAAGACGTTGAATTATTCGAACTAGAACATCAATAAAAAATTATAATAATGAATGAGCTTAAGGACATAATGCTAAAAACCAATAACCCTGAAAGGTGAAGCATTTTCAGTGTTGAATTGCATTAGTGATATTTTATGTAGTTTATGAATATGCAGGTAATATTTATTTAAGAGTATATTTAAGGCTGGCCTTTACATGTTTTATTTAATTCCAAATTTGCGCTTCATCTGACCTATCGTGGGAATAGCTGCTTAATTCGGTTTTGCGCCGGACGTGAAAAACGTTGTAATTGTCAAAAAAGCTATGTGCCTGTTTTGCTAACTTCACAGTTTGATTTCTCTCTTTAAAATGTGGTCAAATGGATCAGATTGGCCTCAATGGCCACAGAGCATGCCAAGCTCAGCTGAAGAGACCAGCCGCTGGGCTGAACTAGCTAGACAATGGGCAGCTACAAATAATCCCCAACCACCACATCCGTTTCCACCCCCTCCACCTCCTCCACCATTACCGGAAGATCAAGATGATAGGGTATTTGTTCCTCCTCCACCAGCGCCTTCCACAGACAGCAATACAAACAGAACTCGTGGTACTTAGTTATTTTCCTTTGGTATATTTTTTGCCATGCATCTATATTTGCTTAAATCTTTTCGATTAAAATGTTTAGATTACGATTTATTTTCTCCGGAAGGCTATCCGCCACCTCCTTTGGAACAGTGGCGGGTTGAAAATCGCGATTACCACCAACCGCCTGATAAGGATTATGGTCGAGGTCCTAACATCAATGAACATAATCTACAGCTGCGGGCGCAACAGTATTTCAGACTAAATGCGCCTCCGCCCCCTTCTATGGTACATAATGTGAGTTTGTTTATGGCCTATTAGTTAGACTCGAGTAGTTCAGTTTTGTTTGCTCTATATTATCTTACTTAATGTTCTAATTTATTCTACGGTGAATACTTATTTAATAAACCGTACACAATCAGTTAAATCTTAGTTTTTTATATTGCGATGGTTAAACCAGGGTATGTTATTATCCTTCAAATCCCTATTGATTACTTTCCATTCTTAGAATCTTAATCTTGTTTTGATAGGAGCTCCAGTAAGTAGAACACTTATTAGTAGGGAAATCGAACAGTTACCTTCTTTTAAATTTAATTTTTCTTACCTTGAACTCTATTTCTAAGTTATTATTGAAGTAAGTGTCAATGTATTTTTATGGTTGTTGTACATAGTGAATTAAATATAAAACTGGTTTATTCTAAAATAATTTGATTTTATATGTATTCGTGATTAATTAACCCGTTTACTAAGTCAAAAACGTATTCAAAGTAGCCGTTTTATGGGACCAAGTTATTAAAAAAATTTTGCTTCAATACAAGTATATATAATCCATCTTCTAATCAATTTTGCTGTTCTGCGCTTCATTTAAAGTTAATTGGATACTGGCGGGATTCCCTTTCTAAACTTGGGAAGGAAAGTGAGTAGCCAGTCAATCAATAAACATTTGCTTCGAAGCAAGTAAATTTGATTTTTGTTTCACTAACAAGGAAGCATTTCAAAAGTTACCATAAATTAATCTAGTTAAACTTCTTCATCTAACACTGAATAAATTCAGCAAGTTTTTGGAATTTAATGTTTAAATGAGCAGAAGATCAGAATATCAAGTCTTATGTGCTCATCTCGTTGTATGGATATATTTGTAAAGGTTGGTTCTGGTCTTGAAAACTTTTTACCATCTAAAACTATGTATAATTTTTGCTTTCTTGAGTTAATGTATCAAACCAGAAGGCCAATTTTTCCACATTTTGATCTCCATGACTAAATTTTATCAAAAATGTAATGAAGAATTGCACTATTTTCTAGCCGCCACCAATATCAAGTTCGCGCCCACCTCCTTCAATGCCCTTCAATGGAGAGGAGAATTGGATGTATCGCAATCATTATCAGCGGCAACCAGATTATTCCTCTACTCCTGTGCCCCCAATGTCCTACCCCCCACCCCCACCTCCACCCCAGGTTCCTATGACACACCCTCCTCCTCATCCTCCTCCTCATGGTCCTCTTTTCCCTATTGGTGGTGGTCCTGGTGTTCCTCCAGGTCCGCCTCGTCCACATTATGCACAACATGGATACCCCCATCCACATCCACCAAATTTCCCTGTTCCCGAACACATCATGCCTGCCTTCAGTGGGTTTAGTAGTCTGTTTTAATTCAGGAGTACTAAATTCTATAGTATCTTTATACGAATATCTTGTCTGTTTCATATCTAGACCAAGCAGCGGGTCCCTGGCTTCAACAACCACCGCCACAACCTCGTTCGTCGTTGCCCGCTTGGTTGCGAGATGAACTGGAAAAACTAGAGAAGCAGAAGCGCAAGGAACAAGAGAAGCTGGAGATGGCTGCTACTAAGGGCCGTAAGTTCACCCAATGGAATATTAGCTTCATGAAGCAATGCATTTGTTTGTCAAGTTAGATCTCAGTTCCTTTCTCGGTAGTTAAGAGAGCCTTTAGTCTGTTATTGGGTTTACTTATCAATACTGTTTGCAATGTTGTTACGGAGCGCTGGCTCCAAGAAGGTGTCAATTAACATAGTCTCTACCTGATTTACAGTTTTGAGTTCCTTAAGTTAGTTCGAAGTATTTCTTGCTGCTTCCCAATCTTTGAGATGCTATGAACTATGCTGCATGCTATTCAAGAAAGTTTTTGTTGGTCTCCTGAGGTTCATATTGCATTCGGCTTTGTAGAGGAAGTAACTTTAAATTTTGAGATTATTGGAACCTTTAAAAAGCGAATTTTCTGAATTCTATTGCATGGAAACTTAACTATCCACAAGTTTAACATTTAGTTGGCAGCAGAAAGCCCCAATTGTACCACAATATGATTAAGATACAAAGTACACACTGGATGCCTCGGTAGTAAATGTAATGGATATTACATTGTGGATGGTTACAAGCATATATTATTATGATAACAATTTGAGGTGTTCCCCTCTCCCAAATTGACGCTCATCTTTCTACTCGCTATTTAGGCAATGGCATGGGAGATTCATCAGACGATACAATACGGAATGCACGAGTTCGTCACGACTCCGATGGCGCAGTCCGTATGGACGAGGAAAGCGATCGTGGATCACCAATGCACTCCGACTATTATGGGGCCGAATCCGAAGAAGATCCAGGAGGAGGATCAAATTTAGGTAAAGTTAGAGAAATCAGCAGCTACTCACCAGCTCACGGCGGTTCAAGTTCTGCTTTGGTAAGCCCCAACCCCAATGCCTTTTCGCCCTCTCCCTATTTCATTTCCACAAAACATCTCAGCTCCTGCTGTGTGTCGTGCCTGTCAGCATAGCTCTTACTGAGCATTCACTTCCTCTTGTAAGTTGATTTTTGAACCACTTTTTTCCTCTTATTTAGAACAATGTTCATGGACTTGAGTCGCCTCCTTCTTCTATCACCGAGGAAGAATTTCAAGCTGCCTGTGCTCGTTTGCAGGATGATGCCATCAATGAATATGTAAGTTCTATAGAACATTGATCTCGTAAAATAGCTGACAGACGCTTGATAGAGAATGAGCCAATAAATAGGCTCGCGTTATAGAAGGTGACAATACAGAACATTTGACTGTCAAAGCCTATTCGAGAACTGTTGACATCCCTTTAGTTATGTAAGATAGAAGGTATCTCGAAAATGCTTTTTTTTGAGAAAATGGTATTTTTCTATCCCACTCACACTTGGCCATGTCTATCACCGTATGTATAACCGACACACACACACACACACACACACACACACACTTCAGGGCATTTATTGCTAACGTAGTTGATGCCAGAATAAATCCGATACTACCATGTCCTTATGGCACAATGTATAATATTATCAGTTTTGATGATATTGCTTTACAGACACATCTGCTTTCTTTCATATTTTGGGAACTAATATTGCTATTGAAGGAGGACGCGCTAGTGGGGTTGCGGGGGGGGACATGGTACCCTGCCAAATTTGAAAACAAAGATATAAGTTGCTCACCACTTTAGAATGCTGTTCGCCTGCAACAGTGTTGAATTATTTCCACTCAACGTGAATTATATTAATACGATATTCCAAAATCAAATTGAAATGGTAGGTGTATAGTCACTGGTGGCTATTATCCTTATCAATGCAAAAGTGCACGTAATTTTTTTCTTATGGATTTCTTTGATTTTCAGAGTAGCTTAGAATCTTCGGTCAATTTTTTTAATACTATCGTCATAATTGTTCTCCCACGTGTGCCGATTAATTTAATATCTTCTCGCCTACATGTCATTTCAGCATCGATTCATAAAAGACGCCCTTACAGACCTACTTCTTGAGATAACCACATTGGCGATCAACGAGGTGTGTGAGGAGACGCTTCTCCAGGCCCGTCTGGTTGCCTACGGGAGAGAGAATGACATAGATCATCACGAGGACAATGAGGACAAAAGTAGTACTCATAGTTCTCAACCTGCAGTCGCTGGGGTTCTTGGTGAGTTTGGCTTTTCTCTTGTCTAAAAATCACCAGTTAGTTGCATTGTTGTCTTACCCTCTTTTGTGGCACTTTATCTTCCTAAACACGGAAATATTATTATTAATTTCCGAGCCTCTTTACTTCGACTCATTTACGTGGTTTTCAATCGTTTATCGATTTTCTCCTCTGTTAGAAATCATTCGTGCTTTGAAGTTTGCTCTCCCCCTCTCAGCCAACGATTATTGGTTGAAAAGTTTCCGCTCTTTGTTTTTTCTCCCCCCCCCCCCCAATGTATGCCCTTTTGATAATAGAGTTAGTATGCAATATAGTAGTCAGGCAAACATTTTCATACCTACGACAAGGAAGACATGCATTTGTCAAAGTGAAAGATTTGTGCTGAATCCACTAGCATTAGTGAGGAAAGCGTTCTGATATGTGGGAGTCATAGGTTTTAGAATAACCAAAAAATGTTGTTGACTAGGCCATTAGGAATTGTGATCATGCTGCTAACTCAATAACATTACCTTCTCATACAGTTACCACCTTCGCATTTGACCATTTTCACTCAAATGCTCTTTGAATTGGGATTAGCAACATCAAGCATTTCGAGTAATGTCTTTGGTTGCTTTAGACACGATAACCCGGCCAAACCAACAACTTTCTTCGCGTCTTGTTCAGTTACGAGATTTCATACACAGCCTTGCCTTTAGCTTTAAATTCCAACTTAACTTAAATCATTATGCTCTTTGTTTTGTATAAGGAAAAATTCCAATTTATCGAACATTTAAGAGTGCTTTAGTAGGCTTTTAAATTAGATATGTAGTCGACTTATCTTATTTAATATTGATGCTAATGGCCATTTCTCCTTTAACTAGGTCTCTCTGCTTACATCAGTGACATTGAATCTGACAACGGCGATCACCTTGGAGATGAAAATCCCAAAGAAGGAAAATCAGAACCACCTACATTGACAGAAGACAAACAAATTGTCCAGACAACAAAAGAAAGCAATAAGGAGAAGGCAACTGTAGTTCAAACTGCTGCATCTCCAAAGCAGCCTGCGGAACTTCCAAAGCCAATTATTGAGGAGTACAAGAAGGAAAAGCCAGCCAGAAATGAGAAGGAGGGTGGGAAGAGGAAGGAGAAATATAAGTCTTCCCATGGTGATGATAAAAAGAATCCCTCATCATCTTCAAAATCTCTTCCTAAGGACAAAAAATGCCGTTCTCCTCGTAGTAGAGATAGGGATAAAAGCTCTCCAATAAAGTTAAAGAAGTCGAAGACTGACCGCAAGGATATTCAGTCTTCCTCCAATTGGCGTGAAAAGCGTGGCCGTTCAAATAGTCGCAAACGATCCAGAATTCGAGATTCGTCAGTGTCATCCAAGCAACATCGTAGTAAAAGGGATCGGTCTAGTAGGAGACGTCGCCATCGATCTAGTTCTAGTTCATCCTCGTCGCGGTCAAGTCGAAGAAGTCATCATCATCATCATCATAGAAAGCGGCATTAGTCTGTTTTTGTCTGTGTGTTTTCTTTATTGTTCTTCCCTACGGCCATTAGGCAAGTGTTTTAAAGCCAAATTGTTCGCATAATCTACTATGCTTGTCTTCTTTTTAGGGAAATTTTGCCTTATTTAATTATCCATTTGGCGCACACGTGGCTGCCTGTATAATAAGACATGTCTGTTGCTTCTTTGTCCTATTCCACCACTCTTAAGTGGCTCTCGTGTTGATGGGAGAAATTGAAAGTATATGAGATGCATGACTTTCTTGTTCTGGTGTTTGAGAAGGCGAATACTGAAATGAATGTGTATCGTCCTTTTTTGATCCCCTTTTTTTACTCCTACTAATGGAGTTATTTTGTGGTAATCCTCTTAACTACCACATATTTGGTGGTTTAATTTTGTTCAGAAAAGGAAATAGGCAGCTGTAATATTCCGATGTGTATCTCCGACGCAAATGATGTCTGCTTGATTTTCTCTTCTGTCATACCTTTTTTTTAATTATTGATCGCGCCACTGCTTATTTCGCATTGACATTGACGGCTACGTAAAATGCCAATCTTGGTTTTCTTTTATGCCATTCTGTATCTTGTCAAATGCAGTATTGATTGTCGGGACAAAGCTTCCATTTGAATGTACGCCAATGCCTCAATTCATATTGTACTTGCGCGGCCTAAATACGCATTTACTTGGTGATTGAGATTAAAATGAAGGAGCCATAGAGACGAGAAACATTAAATTCGCACAAAAATACCAGAGACTAACCATGTTTACATAGTGGCTGCTTGTGTGTGTGTGTGTGTATCTCTCTCTCCCGTATTATAGATTTTTAACTTTACTCTACTCCTCTGTACGTCCATTTAGAACTGAATGCTGACAACTGCTTCTCTATTGGCTATCCACATTGTTGACTTATTCTACTTTTAATTCCTCAGTAGGGGGAGTGCTTTGTTCTTTAAAATAACGGACTCCATTTTTTTCTAGAATTGCAATTAGCATATAGAGTAATTCAGTAGGGCTTTACGCTTCTATTTGCATACTTTAATTAACTGCAAACATACAAATGGCTATTTCAAAGAAATATCCCACTCCCCCCCCCCTCCTCCTCCTCTTTGTGAATTCGGTTTTGAGAATTTGAATTTTGATGTAGAGAGAGCGTACGACATTTTTTATTAAATGGTTGCGTGTTTTTTTTTGTGAATGTTATTTTAACTAACGCGGAAACTATTTATTCTTTTAGGAGTGTGCTACTCTGCGATGCACGTGTGTACATGAAAACATTCACTGATCCCATCCTTTGTGTATTAATTTTATATAAAAAAAGAATTTGAAAAAATTAAGCCATGCAGCTTTGGCGTTTTTGCCTTCTGGGTGGTTGTGGTATTGTTGGAAGTCTCTGCATGTCTTTGTAGTTGATAAAACAGGATTTGTGAACACTCCAGCTGCTCTATAGTTATTTACGATTGTCGGTGAGTTCTATTGAACACGAGAACTCGCTCATAGCAGGCTTGATGCAGCGATTGCCAAATCTCATCTTTGAAATCCTTAAGTAAGAAAGATCTGATCTGAGATGAACTTTCATCTGGTCTTCTGCTTCATTGGTGGGAAGGGGGGCTGGATCAGGGTTTGTTTTTCCCAAGCAGTCTTGATCAAAAGCCGGAATCTTTTAAAAGACTTTTCTATTTTCGCGGTTTGCTAGTTTAAAACGGTTATGTGTGGAATAAGTTACAACTCCTTAAGTTTTAAATGAATAAAATCGAGATGAAAAATATGCTTTAAATCATTACAAGTGGGATTGATATGCAAGCGGTGGTTTTGATTGGCAGAACGCGAGACGGATCTTATTGTTAAGTTAGTGCGACGACGACATTTCTAAGGCAAGTGAGCTTCCACGTCGGTCTGGCTTGTAGGATAGGAGGTCGCACTTGCTGCAGACGATTGCCGTGATGTCCGAGTTGTATTCGGTGATTGGGCTCTTGCATTCTTCCTACGCATATGGTTCATGAAGGCCTTAAATGCAGAGGAAAATAATTAACTTACTTGCTGCACTAACTACTCAAAGGAACGCTAGTAATCAGTTGCGCGCAAGCGTTTATTTTAATTACTAAAACATCTTGCTGGTTGCTTTCAATAAATAGTGTAGAAATTCTTACCACAAGTTAATAAAGTGGAGTTTCCAAAGATAACTTATAGCAATTAAAATGAATAAGTCAATTTAGCCTGCTCACAAGGCCATTGCTACAATAGTAAGCACTGTTATTGGGTAGAGAATTTTCGACACTAAAACACAATTAGACTGCAGAAATCTTGCCTGGAAGATCAGACATGACCTATTGGAACGCTGATGCCGTAGTTGCTAATGCAACAACGCGGATCAATACCCCCTGAAAAGTGCATTTCTCACTATTCTAAGCCAATAGCACAAAGCGAAATTGGTGGACCATGTATTTGTAGATGAATAAGCAGTAAATCTATCTTTGCTAATTCGTGAAATGCTGCCATAATCTTCAATATTTCGCTTCATACTAAAATACGCATACTGAAAGTAAATATAGTCTAAATCCATTTATGTGAATGCAGTGATGTTATGCCTTGGAAGAAGAGAAGGGGTAAGAAAGTTAAAAGCTTGAACAAAAATAAATAGGTAATTCATTGAACTGCACCAAAGCAGAAGGAAGACACTCATTAACTATGGAAGAATTTTACGCACACAAGTGAACTCAATTGAGAAATACTTCTCTAGGGGCATCCCAGTAGTCATAATGGGCAGTTTTTGGATAGATGAGACAACTTCGAGAAAAATGCCACAAACGGCCGCACAACTTGACTAACCTAAACCGCAAGTCACAAATATATTGTGATTAGCTACGCACTCTCAAGACTTGAAGAGCCAATTTCGGGAATTTAAACCTTTGAAAATTGTGACTTGAGGTAGAAGTACCGTCGTTGAATAGGGTTTCAATTTGTGTCCCTACTTTAATCTCGAGGGGGCTGCTAGTTTAATCATGAATAAGTGTCTGGTCGAAAATGGCGAGAACTAAGCTTTCTGATTGACTTACTTGCTTAAATTGAGCTTGGAAAAAGTTCGATATTGCTACATTAGACTAAATCGCGTTGCATTAAACAAAGAGGCAAACAGTAACTCAAACAAAATCAGCATTAAGTAGTAGTATTCGCAGGGCCAGAAATGTGCGGTATTAGCTAGCCTCGCGCTTGGTATTTCAAGTCTCGAGGCGATGGTCACCGCTCTTTACAGATTAATCAAGAACCACGGCACTTTGGTTAAAGTCATCATCTTGGAGATGACAAAGAGAAAGTGTCATAAGATAAGGCTTTGTACTAATTTAGATGAAAATTGAAATAAATGCGAAGTTTTTTGGAGACGATATCAATAAAAATGGGCAAGGTTTGGCTGTTAGTGCCACTAAGCCAAACCGATTAGCCCTGGATGGAGGAATTGCTGGCGAAATCCCTATTAATAAAAAGATGGGTAAGATCTTGGGGTGTGCGATAGACTTACCTTCACGTGGTGCACCCTGGGCAACGTATACTCATACGAAAAAAAGTCTATTTACCGGCAGGTGACTTCAGACTTCAAACCACCATCACCCTACTGTATGTTATATTCAATTACTTCCACCATACTTATCCCACCTTTTCTCTGCCTTTTTGTATGTCTATCTTTTTAACATCTTTAAACACTCTTCTGTTCACCCCCCCCCCTGACTTTTTTTCGATTTGATGTTCCTCTTCCTCTGTGAAGCCTGAAGTCAACTAAAGGGCTAATGATAACTATCATAAAGCCTGCCATTTGATATAAATATTTTCCTTGATCCTGTGCTGTTATATGCTCCGGAAGATTGATCTATCGACGCAAATAAGACCGAAATTTATTCTTAAACGTTATGTAATGAATCATTAGAGGCCACCTTGGTTGAACTCCGTTCGGTGATCTTGACACGTTAAGATCAGGATTAGCTCTATGCATCCCAACTTAATAATTGATACAAAGATTGACCTTGTTAATGGCTCAATCACTAAGGCGATTTAATGCGCGCTAAATCGACTATTTGTAGAGGCCCAATTGTCTGACTTTTATGGTCCATTGATCCGTTCTCACGCATGAATACACTAGGTCAGGACTTTTGCGCCGACTTTAATAAATGCTGAAGTGATATTCTGAATGTTTTGTTATTTTCTCATATCCCCTCCAACAAACGCTAATTCATCTTACTCAATCACTTAATTATAACTAAAAGTGATAATATCGATTTTTAATGGCAATATTAACCAGTCCACCTTAGCCCAATGTATCGTTGCGTGTTGAGAAATCATTAGATGCAATACTTAAACAGAAGACACGCAAATGTCATGTTCTCCTCGTGTTCAATTTGAAATCACGTGGGGGGGGGGAAGTCATTGAGAGTACTAATCAATAGAATTTTCTCTCCCCTACCTAATATGTTGAACTTATGGGAATATCGTATGATCTCAGAGTATATTGGGAGGCGGTAGGAAGGAGAATTAGGAGTGAAAGCAATGCACAGGATAACCCACAACCCCCTTCCCCCCCCCCCATTTGGCTCTAGTAGATCACCACGTAGTCATAGATGGCACTAAATTCGTACTGTGAATAGGGCTACGACTTAAATTTTCCAGACTAGGTAAGTAGGTAATTCCAAATGTATGTAAATTATTGACTACCTAATTAGCTATGCATTTTGTTTAGAGCAGTGAAATTATCCTATTCTGTTTCCTGTCTTAGCGCGTTGAATTTAATCCCAGGATCACCTGGGGCAGAGGGAGAGGAGGGGGGGGGGGGGGGGGGGTAGGATTACCATTAGCTATGTCATAAACGATGTCAAAGCCATAATCAATTACATGTAGAATAACTCGGAGTAGAGGTAATATAACCATATTTCTCAAAGTGAAGGCGTACGGATTAGTAAGCCAAATGCGTCAATACCTTAGTCTAAGTATTGAAAAATGGGTGATGAAAGTCCTTTTCT